AGCCATGGTTAAATATTTCTTTTATCCAGATAAAGGCAGGAACTGACACAGCTAGATGCTGTCAGCAGAACCACTGCAATTGGTGAAAGCATAGTTTTCAGACAGAAAATTTTTGGATATAAAGAATAATATTGGTTAAACTTATTTAGCGAATATTCTTATGCTAATAAAAAACAATGTAGTAATAAAAGGAAATTCTCAAAATTTAAGAATACAAAAAATTGTTATATGGAGTTTAACTGTTCAGCTTTTCCTGTGATTTTGTTTGAACTTTATGAAACAACCTAAACATATATTGGTTTAAATACCTAGCAAGAAAAGCCAATCTTTGCCACAGGAGAGGTCCCTATAATAAGAAATTTGACTTGAAAGTTCCCTGATGTCCTTTGAATTTTACTTCCCTCCTTTGCACTAATCCTAACATACTTTGTACAAATATTTTAACGTTTAATTTAAAAGACAAAAAGGCAGATGCTCCTTTATGGATTTACTTGCGTGAGTAATCTTTAGCATAACTGAGGCTGAATATTGTTAGAATTTTTTTATCTTTAGCTGAGAAAAGCATCTTTATTTTCAGACATGAGGCTGAAAAGTTATGCCAAGCCTGACAAGAGATGCAGTGCAAAATTAAATGCTAATTATAACAGAAAGCTGAAATGTCCTATAGTAAGGTGACATATTCTTAATTTACTGAATGATCTTTTTTATACAAAACCTCTCTCTTCTAATAAATGAGGTCAGAGATGTTTAGTTCTCGTACTTGAGTGAGTTAGGAGCCATGCTATTTGTGAGCCTAACAGAGGATAGAACTGCATAAAACCAGATATCCTGCAATTCAGGCAACAAGAAACATCCAATGCCACTTCACACACCTTCAGTCTTGGCTGTCTTAAATCAAAGTTTTAGCAAGTATTGAAGAAAGACAAAAAGCCCATACATGCCTTTTGTATTTGGTGCCTGATGCTCCAGTTGTAATAAAAACTAGGTAATTACTAACAAACCTTCTGGGAAGTACAATTTTCATACAACATTTTCAAATATTTACAGTAGTTTCTATCTTTATCAGGAGTGATGCATACCTTCTGCACTTTAAAGCCTTAAACTAGATCACCTAGTGCACACTCTTCTTCTGCTTGGTGCCAGCAGCACTCACAGGTGCACCGATAAGGGTTTACTTGCTTTACTGAAGCATATTTACTCTAAGAACTCCAGTTCAACCTGAAACACATTCACTGTGATGGATTTAAATTAAGTTTTGTGAGCTTATCTCGTCTTACAGGACCACAAGGTTAGGGCAACTTTGGCATGAGTGTGCCTGACACTCAACCTGAGGTGTTCACCACTGTTTCAGACCATTACCTCTTTGCCATACTCCGTTCTCATGCGATGCTGCTGTTTATTTTGGGGAAGCCTGGAAGTGACCTCTTTAGGTCCCTGACAGAAACTCATTCCAGCAGACAAAGTGCCAGGTCAGGGCAAGGAGGTGACTGATCTGAGTGTGAAGTCCCACATGGCAGCATCTGCCTCTGCCGTATCTGACTCGTGGAAAAAGGGCTTGTTTCCTATCCTGGCTTTCAATTAAATTTTGGTAAACACAGACATTTACCAAAACATTTGTAACAATTTATCTGCCTCTTGAATGAACAGTTGTTTCCTCTGAAAAGGAATCAAAGCCTGAAGCTCTAAAATGATCAGCGAACAGTGGGAATTTCTGTCTCCATTTCTGATCTTTGCAATGTCAGCAGTTCAGATTTCCAAACTTAAAGAACAGGGCCCAAGGTATTACAAGACTTCCAGGTTTTTTTCAATCTCCCCTTTTTTAAGGAATAGAATTGAAGACAGAGAATGTCTCCATTAAGGATATGACCACCCAATGGCCAAGCAAGACACAAAATCTGACCTTAAAATGCTTTTCCTCCCTTAAGAGCCTGTTCTATAGAGGTGCTGAGCTCCCACGCTTCCACGCTGCAGTTTCTGAGGGAAGATGCCCACTGCCCTCACCTTTTGAAGGGAGAAAGCCAGTGTTGGCAGCTGGATGGCCTGGAAAGGTTCCCAGTTGCTCACAGCACCATCCAAGAGATGGAAAGCCAGGAATAACATGGTTGAGAAAAGCACAATTAGCTTCTAATGCCCTAGTTTCAGAAGATGTATATCTTTCTGCAGGCAATCCTGTCTCTCCTGGAGTTAAGTTTTACAGCTTCTCTAGGCCATTTTGTAAGTCTGTAACTGCTGTCAACACAAGGTTTCTCTGGCTCTTCAGCAATGAGCTCAACCTTGTGGAGCAATCAGCAGTTTTCTATTTTCCTAGCTGTTGATCTGAGGCTTGATGAAAGAAAAAAATAAAAGCTTCTTGCATCCTGCCCCTAATTTCACATATATGCTCACAGTCAGGCACATCTCATCCCAAATGACTTGGGATTAATAGTGTTACCAATATAGAAACAATATAATACTCTAAATGTAAGCTTATCCTTCAAATAGCCTCCTATAAAAAAGGTTATGTTTTATGGTGAGTTTTCAATTTTAAAAAAAGAGGCAAAAATACCAGAGAAGAACTGCACAATGTACAAGGCTAGCATTCAGACCTGCCATCAGCCCTGTACTGAAGGGCTGCACTGCCTCATGCTCAGAGGCAAAATCAGTTGCTTTACATTCTTCCCAGCTAGATTAGGCAATTGATTTAGCAGACTTCTGAAGCTACCATTCCACAAAATCCATTACCTGAGTTTTAAAATATGTGCCAGCAGATTTCCTTGCACCACTGAGGAAAAGATTAAAATGCAGTCATGCAATATATTACGTGGCTGGATAGCACAAGTCTTAAAAATGCTTAACATTTGGAATGAGTGGCTTTTGTTAAAATGAATTTCACTGGCAGGTGGCCTATGCATTACTGTGACAGGAGCAACTGCCCTCTTCGAGCAGTGCAAGTGATAGCCAAAGTCTGCCAAGGAGGGATGGAGGACAGATGCTAAAAATGTTTCCAGGATCTAACATTGAATTACCAAGATAGAAAACCAAAATGAAAAAGCAAAACCGGTTTTTACAAAGGATGCTGATGTGCCTCAGACTGGCAAACAGCCTTTTGAACAAAATTACAACTGACCTTAGATGGCCACTTTATTTCTTTTATGTTATAGCTTTTGTACCAATCTGTGTATGGGTACTCGTGCACATGCTTATAAATAATTAATTTCTGAAAGAATATCCCAATGCAAATGAAAACGCAAGGTGATTTCCTTCTAGTATCTTTTAAAACAACACGAACAACAGAAATCAGATCTATTAATTTCAATTCTGCTTTAAGTAATATTTCACTGGGTGTACAATCACATCTTAAACTGCACAGGCGGTACTGAATTAATACCAGCTTTTACTGGCAGTCAGCTGTGAGTCGTGCCCATCACTGCACATTCCATTTCAAAAGAGAAGTAGAGGTGCTCAGTGAAGTACAGACTGTGCTGCTCATTTTTAACATTTTCAAAAAAGAAAACGTGATAGTGCTAACAAAGTAATAATGTAATAAAAAACACAATCCGTATTAATTTCTGCAAACCCATTTCTGTACCATTCACAGACAATCAAAGAAAAATCCATCCCCACAGTGTGAAAAGCAGTTGGGGCTGCCTCCTGACTGCACATCAGGAGGTCAAAACCTGCTTAGCTAACCCAGGGATCTCTTGGTAGCCCTAGATATATAGCAAATAAGAAATAATTTGCAACACTATTGAAATGAGTTTATATCTGTATAGCAGATGTCATTAAGGCTATACATAGCTACACTGATACCAGTTCCACCTTCAATTATTTGTAATTTATAAGCATATCTGTTTACAGGGCTTTGTATGACAAACAATAGTAGTGAAGTACAAAAGAAATCAACACAGCACTGTCAATCAGAAAGAAACAACAAACCTCCTTAGATCCATCTGACCTCAGCTCAGATTGAAACATGCTGTGTGGCAGTCATTCAGAGCTGTGCTCTCTACGGCTCACGCACACATCTTGTACTGCTGCCCGCCAAAACACCATCAAAATGTTCTCGCTTAGCTCTTCAAAAGCCACATTCTCTCTTGTTTTGATGTTACTTCTGGCCTGTGACATCTGTCGCGAGCCGAAGCCAGGGGGGCTACAGACCATCAAGCTGCCCTGTCACTGCTGTGTCACTGCACTCCCTGCAGGCTCAAGTGTGGCTAAAGGCTGAGTCAAATCAAACTGGATCTACATTACAGAGAGAGTAAGAATTAATTCCACCATTTTGTCTTCTTAGGGAGATGTTAGTGTGAATGCAAAGAGATCAGTGACAAACAAACCAACCAGCTCCCTAGCTTCTGTGTTTCTTATTTGGCATTTGTAGAAGTCCTACTGCCACAGGACTTTGGTCTGTGACAAAGGCTGACAGGCGCTACAACAGTTCAACAGCTGCACAAAATTAAAACTTATTATGAACACCTTATCCAGCATTATTGCTACCTTCTTAATCCAAAAAAGGCAACAAAACCAAAACAAGAACTGAGATCACAGCCCTGGTATAAAGAACACTATGCAGAACCTAACTGCAAGAACGTAAGAGGCATGGGCTCACTGAATTGCTCTGTTTCCCAAGTTGTCTCTGAAGCTACATAGTTACAGATATAGTTTCAACCTAAAAATCTGTCTGAATATTCACAGTGATAAATACAGTCAGAATTACTATGCCTAACCACTACTACATAGTACTTCACTATAGTGGAAATCAAACTCCTTGAAAGGACCATAATTCAACAGTAGCAATCTGGGACTTCCTGTTAGGTTACACAGTATCAAACTGGATCACTGAATGAATCAGCAACACTCTCCATGCTAAAGCTGACCCAACTAAGGGCCAGACCAGACAAAGACCAAAAAAAAGCAAGATGGAAGATGCCTCAGTCTCCCGCTTTTCAAGCATCCAGTTTGAACATCAGCATTATGTAACAATGCTGGGAAACCAGTAATCACAGCCTTTTATTTAAACATACCAGATATCTTTCTTCTTGCCTCATGCTTGGGGTACGGATCATGTGATTCTGTTCTCCTCTCCAGTCTCCGAAACGTCGAAAAAAATAATTGGATAAAAATCGATTGACAGGATCTCTAATAATATTGATGTACACGGGCTGGTCACCTCCAAACCTGGTAGGAAGAAAAATGGGTGAATCTCATCAGAAGGTTCCACACAGGCACACGTAACTGTCTTTCACCTGAATGTTTTCAAAGTACTCTCCTACAGAAGTTCCGAGCTTCTAAAAGGTTAGAGTAAGACTGAAACTTATAACCAGTTACCAAACCTTTGTAAAAGCACATAAGATCTCTTTATGATGAACAATAAATCTGGTGTCACATTAAGCTACATGTATACTACAAACACTGTAAGACCATTTTTCCCCCTGCGTCAATATTTTTGCTTCTTGAGTTTTCTCCTTGCTGTTTTCAGAAGAAAAGACTCCCGCAGCTGAAACCAAGAATCAGCATTTCTCCTTTCTTAACATTTTTCCCACCTGGGAAGTCATGTCAGAGCAGGCACCACCAAGCACGAACTGCCATTAGGCAGCCTTGGATCATCCTCACCTGTGCAGGAAGTGTAGAGATGTGCAAAGGATTTTGCAACATTCGAGCTTATTTCAAAAGGCTTCCTTTGGACGAACTGACAGATATGCATGGTATTTCCATCTTTATATTTGCTGGAACTTGTGCAGATCCTCCTCCCCTCACCCCCAGCCTGCACCACTGGCTGGATTTCAGGTTATTTTGTGCTTATGCAACAATACCGTATCCGTGTACTGCGCTTCATGACGATTTATTTTTTTCAAAGTCAATATGAAAATTCCTGCTTCAAAAAGAAATTAAGTAACCATTTCAAGTACACTCAAACCCAAGAAAAACAAAAGGGTAAAACCAGCTGTGACCTGGCTCTGCACAAAAGCAAATTGCAGCATAGGTTCCAGCACTTCAGAGAGGAGAAGATAAACCAGAGCAACCTAATCAGCTCAACTTCACCCTCTGTTATACTTCTGTTATACTGTTACACTCTGTTATACTTCTGTAAACTTCTGTTATACTTCCTCCTGGTAGTTAATAGCAAACACCTTCAGTTTAATAGACAAGCTACAAAATGAGGAAAGGAAGAAAAAGGAGCTTGAGAAGGCCTGTGATTATACTGTATTTTCAGGGTGTTATAATACTGAGAGCATATCTAACATTGATACACAGCATCAGTAGAACAGACCTAACTGGAAGAAAAAAAGGATAGCTGCTTTCACACCTCCACGGTCACAACTGAAAAATGGACTACAAATGCTGTCAGATAAAGAATAACATAAAACCTTTTTGAATTAACAACTTCATAGGATAAATTCAACTTGGAATTTGCATGATCAAAGAACATGAATTATTTTTTTCCTTCTTTCCCCACAATTTAGGAGAACAATTCCTACTACTAGCTTATGCTTTATTTCTGGGAGCTTGAGGACATAGCCATATTTAAGTATTTAGGTGCTCTTCTGATGATTTTCTGACTCACAACTGTAATATAGTCGATTAGAAGAGAGAAAACTGAAGACACCCTTTAGATTAAAAAAAAACAACAAACCTTCTGCTTCTCTTCATATTTTGAGTCAGATAAATAATTCAATAAGTATAATAAAATACCAGGGCTCATGATAAATATTTAAAAGCCATCAAAATTGTTTAAAAACATTAATTCTGGAAAAAAAAATAAAATAGAAGAGAAATATTCCACCCAGTTTCAACTGGATTTTTATTCTGCATGATTTCCCAAATCACTAAAATACAGTCTGCAAAGGCTTCTCATGAATAACTACACATATCAGTAATTTAATTGACCTCAACGTTGCAAGTTCACTGCCATAATTTGAAACTGCACAGACAGCATAAAACTTTTAAACAATCCAATTAAGAAGACAGATGCTTCTTGCTTCCTGATTAGTGCACAGCCCAGTTTAGACATGGGTGTGCAACAGAAGTACCCTGAATCAAGATTCCAAATTCTTCTCTGAGTTTGTCTTTCCTGCTTTTTGTCTATATAAACAAATAAAACCTACATTTAAAAAAAAAAAGGGCATTC